TCATGCTTCAATTTACACAATTCCTTTTTCTGTAAACCTGATAAAGTAATTCTTTTTGGCGAGTTAGAGTTAGATATATGTCATTCAAACCATCGAGTCTGGAAAAAATTACAAAATGGCAATATCAGTATAATATGATAAAAGTAAACGATGGGAACTTCTATTCGAAACATCTTAAAATTCCCGGATGTGTGGCTATTGATGTCCGGCCCTGTTTTATGGAATTATATTCTAAATCCGAAAAAAGTAGTCTCGCATATTACTTAAGAGAGTGTAATCTTGACAACAAAGTGGATTTACCTATTCACCGCATGAACAAATATTATGAAATGGCATTAAAAGGAACAAATGTCATAATGGCCGAGCAGATGCGTGAAGTGGCCAAATACTGTATTATCGATGCTCTTAGTTGTCAGCGATTAATGGTCAAGCGCAATGTAATTAATGAATATAGAGAGGTAGTGTCTATATCTTTCTTATCATTATATGATGCACATTATTTCGCAGGAGGAATGAAAGTATGTAATCTTTTGGGTGCTAGTGCATGGCAAAGAGGGCTTTTAACTAGCACTATATCATGCGAACAAACAGAATCCGGGAGCTTCCCGGGAGCATATGTCTTCCCACCAATAAAGGGGCTCGAAAATAAACGTTCTGTAACTGGCTTAGACTTTGCATCTTTGTATCCAAGCCTTATCATGACATACAACCTCTCGCTCGATAAAATCATTTTATCTCGAGAGCGTGCTGAACAAAGTGGTAAAAAACTCCACGAAATTAGTTTTAAATTCAATAATCAGGATTGTCTCGCATGGTCTATCCAACATAATAACATCCCCGAAGAAAAAGGTCTCTATGCCAATGTGTTAGAATATTTATCTAGTAAACGGAATGAGATGAAAAAACGTCTCGCTCCTTTGAAAGAGAAAAAGGAAAACATGGATCTGGTAATTGGTTTAATGGATAAAGGTTTATCATTACCAGGAGCTATTGAGCAAGTCTTAGCAAATACAGAGGAAAAAAAGCGTGCCAGCCTTAGCGAAAGTTTACATCATTTTATTAATAAGGAAAAACATGAATTTATAGCAGAATATGATTCTATTTGTTTCGACTGCTCTTGCTTAGATGCGAAACAATATGCTCTAGTAGATAACAGTATATATATACTGTTATCTACTTACACTAGACTGTTACCTACTTATGAGTATACTGTTACCTACTTATGGGTATACTGTTACCTACTTATTCTATAACTACCCATTTTGACCTCTAATAAGCTTGATATTTGCTTCCTTTTAATGGTTTGATGATATGTAGGTTGTGTTTGTATCGCCATTCAAGAGTCACTAAGGCATGTGCTGAGAATATGTGGAGATCGCATTTGGTGCGTCACTCGATGACAGCTGTGGCTAATTTTTGTCGTTAGGCCACATGCCAACTATTGTATGCTAGTTTGGCAACCATATCCGATTTCCGTCGTTGGCTCACATGGATAAAAAAATATATCTGACGATGCATCCAATTATATATCGTCATTTATGGGCCCGACGTGAGGGCTATGCCCAAACGTGGCACGTAGTGCCTTAGCTTTCTGGTTAATTCCTCTATGAGGACCAGGTTTGAGGCACGTAGTGCCAAAATAGTATTCATATCCTAGCTTTGTATAATACACTCAAATATCGATCGAGAATGAGGCACGTAGTGCCGAATTGTTAACATATCTGGTAATACACCAAAGCATCCGATGATGAGGCACGTAGTTAGCAGTTGTTAGCTTCGTATAATTCATTCGAATATCGCCCGATGATGAGGCACGTAGTGCCGAATTGCTAACTATTATAATACACTCGAGTATCGATCAAGGATGAGGCATGTAATGCCGAATTGTTAACATATCTGGTAATAACATCAAAGCATCCGATGATGAGGCACGTAGTGCCGAACTGTTAACAGTTGTTAGCTTTACATAATTCATTCAAATATTACCCGAGAATGAGGCACGTAGTGCCGAATTGCTATCCTCACTTAGTAATACTCAAAGCATTGTAATAAGTATATCTGTTTTCCGTTTTTATTTGACATGAGGATGGGATATTGGATATAGAGATGGTATGGTATAATGGATATGGATATAAAAAAAAATCTTAATGCGGTTGGGACAGCAAGGTTACAGCAATTTTATTACTTTTGACTTGTTTGAACTACTTCCCAGATAACGAAAAAAATATGTAACCTTGCTGTCCTAAAAATTAAGCCTAATATAATTTTATGTTCTAGAATCCTTTCTTGTATAGCCGTGCTGTTCCAACATATGTTACTAAATATATAATCAATATGTAACCCAAAAAATATATAATTGAAATGCAACCTTGTTGTCCCAAATCATATAACCAAAATGTAATCTTGCCGTCCCAAAAATTTAGCCGTACTTGTGCAGATTGCTGTTCCATTATACCGCGGGCCACTGTTCCAAAAATTTAGCCATATCTGTGCGAATTGCTGACCCATTATACCTATATATTTTACTGTCTTGTTATATCTACGCGCTTTGCTGTCCCGATTGCATCTCGATTAAAATTATGTAACACAAAAACTCCTTTGTATAAAATGCCTAGCACAGGTTGTTATCCTAAATCACACGACACAAAAACCTCTTATATGATCCAAGTATCGGAATATTAATTTTTTATTTGAATTTTTTCTTATATTAATTGTAAGAGGCGACAAAAATCCCCTTATCCAAAATATATGCTAGATATACTCCTAGCCAGAGTATTCTGATCACGTTATTTTAAAATAGCAATTATACATATTCAATGATTGCTAAAGATTTATTTTTCAACTCTTTTTTGTGCGGAGTAGTAGGAACTTTCATTTTAGCCTCAAAATTTCGCTTGTA